CCAAAGGAACTGCTCAGTGTCATGATTTTAAACAGCTTGCCGACTTCTTACGAGAATTCCCGCATCGCAATAGAATCAAGAGATACACTGCCTAATCCTGAAGATTTAAAAGTTAAAATCTTTGAAGAATCACAGGCGAGGAGCAATGCAGAGAAACCAGAGTCCGAAGAGAAAACTGAAGCTTTAATTTCCAAAAGGAAGAAGTTCTGTACATTCTGTAAGAAAAACTCGCATAGTACGGAATCATGTTGGTCCAACAAGAAACAAGGCAAAACTTTTATGAAAGTTTCAAAGGGCAAAGACAACAAACAACAGAAAAGTTTCAATACTTGTCTAAATTTAAATAATGTAAATATGTCAAAAATATCATGGTGTTTAGACAGTGGATGCACGTCACATATGACGAATAATAAACAAATATTTTTAAATATTTCCGAAGACAATGGCTCTGTAAAATTGGCTTCAAATGACCATTCGACACCAGTCAAAGGAAAAGGCACGGCACAAGTAAGACTGAACGAATACTCATACAAATTACATGAAACTCTTTATGTGCCAAATCTCTCGACAAACTTACTTTCAATTGGGAAGATCACGGACAGAGACAATAAAGTTGTGTTCGAGAAAGATAAAGCTTATGTTGTTGAACCTAACGGTGACATATCACTAAAAGCAAAGAGAAAGGATGGCTTATACTACATATGTCGTGAATCCGAAGATATAGCAAGTCAGTAACTGTCGAATCAGAGATGATGACGTGGCATAAGAAGCTAGGCCACATTAATGAGAGAGACCTAAAACAAATGGCTAAAGACAAGAAGTTAAGAGGACTTATTTTTAAGGAAGATAAACTCGATACCTGCGAGTCATGCATCAAAGGTAAAATGACACGATTACCATTTCCCAAAAATGATTCTATAAATAGCAATCAACCATTAGAAATCATTCATACTGATGTCTGTGGCCCATTCGAAATAGAAACTTTGGCCGGGTCAAAGTATTACGTCTCATTCATCGACGATTATACAAGATACAGCTACATCTACTTTATGAAGAACAAAAATGAAGTGTTCAGACTATTCAAAGAATTTAACGAAGAAGTGGAGAATTTTCACAAACTTAAAATACAGAATCTACAATCTGACAACGGCACTGAATACAGAAACAAAGAGTTCGATCAGTATTTAAGGGAGAACGGGATAAAGCGACGACTTACCGCACCTTACACACCCCAACAAAACGGTGTTGCTGAACGCAAGAACAGGTCTTTATTAGACAAAGCTCGTTGTTTGATGATAGATTCAAACGCGCCCAAGATTCTTTGGGCCGAAGCTGTAAATACTGTAAATTACCTTGTAAATAGAAGTCCAACCAAACTACTAAAAGGTAGTATACCATATGAGATGTGGGTAGGCAGACCAGCATCGGGGAATCATCTCCATGTATTTGGAAGCAAAGCTTTTGTCCTCAAAAAGACACGCCGTGGAAAGCTAACTCCTAAATCTATCAAAGGTGTATTTATGGGCTATGCGTCAAATGCAAAAAGTTATCGGATATTCATACCAGAGAAAAATGATATAATGATAAGCAGAGACGTGAAGGTAATAAATGAAATGTATTACGAAAGCAAAAATGATACTTATGGAAGTCTTATTGAAAATGAAAATAAAGAAAAAGATAGCAAAGCAGAAGTCACAAATATACAATTCGAAACAAGAATGAATGATGACTTAACTGTACAGCAACTTGATATTACAGATGTTGTAAATAACCCTAATTCAGATGTAAATACAGATGAAAATGAGATACATCCGCTTGTACGACCTCAAAGAGAACGAAGACCGCCAATAAGGATGAATGACTATGTACAATTTAATGATAATAATTGTGAAATTGATGAATATTATGACATAAACATCAGCAGAACAATCACACAAATGTGAAGATGGTGATGACGAAGATTACCATGATGCTATAAAATCTGAAATCAGAGCTCATATCAAAAATGGTACATGGCGGATAGTTCCTAAAGAGAAAGATACGAGACTAATCGGATACAAAATTATTTTAAAAAAGAAAATTGGCCCAAACAATGAAATTAAAAAGGCCAGACTAGTCGCACAAGGCTTCACCCAAAAACCTGGGATAGACTATAATGAAACTTTTGCACCTGTTGTAAAATTGAGTTCCATAAGAACAGTTGTAGGAATGGCATTAGAAGAAGACTTACATTTATGTCAAATGGATGTAACTACAGCATATTTAAATGGTGACCTAGATGAAAGAATTACAATGAAAGTTCCAGAATGTCTAGAAGAATATGTATCAGAGGTGATGGTAGATGAAATAGATAAAGAAGATCTGACTGTATATAATAAAGCTAGAAAAATGCTTGAAGATCTGAAAGGTATAAAAGGTGACAAAGCCTGTTTACTAGAAAGAGCGCTATATGGATTAAAGCAGTCAGGACGTCAGTGGTTTAAAAGACTAGACACTGAACTTAGAAAGATTGGCTTCGAAACTTCATCTGCTGATCCATGTCTGTACATATCAATTAAAGGAGTAGATAAAACAGTCATTACGATCTACGTAGATGACATTTTGATGGCTTACTCAAATCCTGAAACCGCTAAACATATAAAAAGGTTGTTGTCAAAACAGTTTGAGTTAAAAGATATGGGCAAACCCAAAAGACTCCTCGGAATTGATTTCATATACAATGACGAAGGTATCAAACTATGCCAAGAGGCATATATTGAGAAAACACTCAAAATATTTGGCATGGCTGAATGCAAAGCATCAAAGACGCCAATAGAACCTGGTATCTGTCTCATGAAGAATCCCAAGAAAGAGGGGGATAACCTACCGTATAAAAATCTAATTGGTAAACTTATGTATCTTGCAATTGCTACAAGACCAGATATAATGTTTGCGGTCAGTTATCTATCGCAATACAATGATTGTTACGGAGAGGAGCATTTTAAATGTGCCAAAAGAGTACTAAGGTACTTAAAAGGGACTAAGAGCATGGGACTGCTATACCAAAAGACGAATACAGATTTGTTCGGAATGGCCGACGCCGATTGGGCTGCTTGCAAAGAAGATAGGAAATCCTTTTCAGGATATATTTTTAAATACGCGGGAGCAGCAATCAGCTGGGCATCTCGAAAACAGCGTGCAGTAGCACTATCTACGGCTGAAGCCGAATATGTCTCATTAACGGAAGCTGCTAAAGAGGCAATTCACTTGGGTTTAATTCACAAAAGCTTGCATTTACGGCAAGAGAAGCCCATAACAATACATTGCGATAATCAAGCAGCCATAAAACTTGGAACAAATCCAATGGTAAGCTCGAAATCGAAGCACATTGATATGAAGGTTCATTTTATAAGAGACTGTGTTTCCGAGAAGAAGATAGAGCTTAAATTCATAAGGACTGAAGAAAACGAAGCTGACCCTATGACCAAAGGTTTACCAGGGCCGAGAATTTTCCGTCTGAGAGCGATGATTGGGCTCAGTGAATAAAAGCCATAGGAGGAGAAACTATCCTCTATCCTGCTTTCTGAGGAGGAGTGTTGGTAGTCAACCAGCAAGGCACGATATTCGACCTCCGTAGAGCATCGCTAATACATACCATAGTGTAGCATTTGAATTGAAAACGTCTGTCGATTTGTGTTGTCATTAAATTAAAATATTAATACATATACTTATATAATAAAACGTTATTGTTTCATAGAAACTGCTGTTTAATCTCCCTCTAACAGTTGCGTACATCGTTCAATTCACCAGAATATTCAGTGTCAACTTCGACTAGGATGGTTTGGATGTAGGAAGTTAAACGCTTCTTAAGTATTCAACGAATTTTATAATTATCAAGACCACTGAAAATTATCTTCTTGCGTTGCTACTCACTCGCAGAGAATATATAATAATCATTGTCCACCAGTGACATAAACAATATGAAAACTATAAAGAGTATAATTTCTAGGTACCATCATTCTTTCTGGCCAAAGGCAATTGAAATTTTAGAAAAACTTAAATATGTATGAAAAAATCAGTGCCCTCTTTAAAAAAAATTGTGATTACCTTGAAAAGTTTCATAAGGTTGTGCCACTAAAAAAACGTAGCTAGGAATTGCCGAAAATGCAGAGGAAAGCTATTAAAAATATAATGAGTTAAAAAATTATTTTTTAAATTAAAAACTTATTTTTGTATAGAAATAAGTAAACTGCTGTTGAAACTTTGTTGAGTAAATAAATTATTCAATAAATAATATGGGAAAAATGTGTTTCATTTACGTTTTCTTTTTTTTTCTTTTTTTGTTTTAATATAACAATAATAATAAGCTAGACTTATCAGTCTACTTTATTATTATTGTTGTATTAAAACAAAAAAGAATTTAAATTAACGTAAAAATAATGTGGAAAATAGGAAGACGGCTAGGTACCTACCCAAAATGGGCTGTATATCTAAATGCCTTTGCCAATAGTAGATCTATAATATTTAAAACTGATGAAGCTGCCATGTATCGCTGGCTCCCAATCACGTTCTACAAATAAATTTTTTATTTAACCGTTTGTGTAATACTTATTTCATACGCATGTACCAAACGTAGTCTGTACTAAACCTCTAGATCACTCTGAAGTTGTTTCGAGCATAGGTACGGTAAGAAAGTATACTTTATCTTTATGTGCATAAAATACAGTATACCTACGCGAAACAACTTCACAACGAACTAGAAGTTCGCAAGGACTATTTCATTCACTCGCAGTTAGTCTGAAATGAATCGTGTTATGAAGATATACGGCTGAAGGCCATGGAAGCCAGGGCCGATAAAACCTTTAAAAAAAAATTACGAAGAAATATTTCAAACAGGCGAGCGAAATGGTATATTTATTATACCACTTCAGACAAATGTAACATTTATATCAGTCGCTTGGTCGCTCGCGAGCTACTCAAGTCTACACAAATATTGAAATGTTCATCATCGCTACCGGTTGTCACTTGTAAAACTTTTGGAATCGATATTGTAATTTTTTAACATAAATTGAAGTTATTGAAATGTTCATTACTCAGTACTAACTATAAATTTAGCTCCTTTCCCTAGCCGCATTAGCTATTTACCATAAATATATGACACTGCTGATGTACATACGTATAGTATCTACTTACATTTCAAAAGTTCACTCAATTTGAAATTGCCTTTTGCTATCGAGTTCTAAATAAGCATGAGACGTTAAAGCCCATTGTCTTCGCTCCACCTCGATATTCCCATGAATGAATCGTGTTCGCCGTTCACCGAGGTCACGATTTTTTTACCTTGTGTGATGTAATGTCTCCGCGGTTTATTCGGCAGTCTTATTTAGATCACATTACTATACGTTTCTTTTTTTTATGAAAACTCGATATAATACCTAAGTTATTTAAATAATTCCCGCGCTAATAATAGCTCGTGAAGATAATATTGAGCATGCGTATTAAGAATTATCTTGAAAATCGTGACGCGCGTCTCAATTCCATCCCAGTGCACGCATCGACTCCGTTTATTTACGCCTGTGTTGATCGTCATGTGAACTGAACCTATTTTTGAAGTTAACCTCACATCTTTACATTTAAACAAAGGTGAATCATAGTGTGTTTCAAGTTGTGGTAAGAAGAAAAACGTTTATAATCAGTGTCAACTATCTGACAATGAATATTTAACTCGACTAAATACGTATAAAGTCAATAAGAAAATGGAAATAGTGAAGGTGTCGATAATATAAAATGGAAAATTGTTTCGCTGCTTGCGGTTGTGATGACTTTGAAGGAGTGACCAAAGCAGATTTAGATCGTTTTACAGATAAAATAGAAAATGTACTCAACGACGAGAAAGGGCGAAAGTTTTTTAGAAACTTTATGTTTACATCAAAAATGAAAGATGGAAGAAAAGTCTTGGATTTCTGGGAACACACGGAGAGGCTGTTAAATTACAGAGGTAGTACAGAAAATATATCTTACCGCAGTTACCTTAGAGATATCGATCGCTTGATTGATGAAGCGGAAAGAATAGACGAATTGGATTTTGCTACAATGGAAAGATTGGCGACAGCCAGAGAATCGGAAAATCAAGAGGAAATCGTCGAAATACTACGCGTTTTAAAATCTGAAGCCACCAAAGCGCTGAGAAGAGAATATAATGCATTCAGAAGACAGTTTATTTCAAAATGAAAGCACACTTAAATTAAGAAAATTTATTAAATTTGCCCTAAGAGTGCCAGTTTCATTGAGTTTTTAAAATTGGCGCCATTTTATTAGTGTTGCACTTTGAGCTTTGTAGGCACTTTATATATTTTGTGCCTTATGAAAAAATGATCTAGGGTAACCTATTGTCAACACAAAGTGGTTTCATTTAAGAGGGAGGTACATACCTAAATTTACTCAATAAAATAATATGCAAAAGGCTACATAATTGGCAAAATAATATTTATTTAAATTATTGTCTACTGGTATGTTAATTCATTTAAAATTTGATTCCATCCATAGCCTGCGCCACAGCAGAGGGAACTATTAAAGTATCATAAATTATGTTAATTGTAGAAAAGATAATGCTTATTTTATATTGTCAAGAAAGAATCTGATTTAGAGGTTAATGATACCAACTTTTTGAAATTTGTTAATTGATAATTCTGATGTTTTGTAAAATTTTCACAAAACAGCAAGATATTCCTAAACATAGATTTTAGTAAGAGGTGTGGCCACGCCAACATGAGTCGTAGTCAAACATTCCAGCTTATATTTATTTAAAAATAAATTAATTCTTAAAGTATAAATAATATAATGATTATTTGCCACCACTATCTCTGAATTTATTGTTTCTTCTGTCACATTTTAGCTGTGATAGATAATGCATCATATACTTAATACCAAAGTTTTCTGAAAGAAGTATATTTTCAGTGGTTTATTTACATGTAAACAAATGTGTAATACGATTTGATAGTTTCAATAAAAAATGTTAAACATGACAAATTCTTGTGTTTATATTTACTAACAGTAAGTTCTTCTGAAATATATCATAAACTAAATATGTTTAGAATTTGTGCTCTGCCTCTTTATTTTTGTATCATCCAATGGTATAAATTCAATTGTTCAGTAGACTTAACATAGAGGCAGAAGTTCAGCAACCAACATGCTACTGGCTATTCGGTACCTATATGAAAAGGTTACTGTTATGTTACATACACATACAATATTGAGTGTAACATTCAATAAAACTAATAATAGTAATGGAGATAATTACATCCACTGGTATAGAAACATGACAAGTTTGAAGCCATAAAAACCAACAAACATTTATTTCATAAATGTTGTAATGAATGTTAGGGAAGCGCAAGGTATAGTACTCAGGCCTGTCTGCCACACTGTACAGGATCTGGCATGAAGATATAGAGTGATGAAGAGTTGGTTATTAAAATATGGGATAAACCACTTTATTGGATTCAGATGTAAATATTTTCAACTAGTATATTCTGTTTGTGTTAATCTATGCTTACTTTATAAAGTTCATTAGGTAAACAAAGAACTTTCAAACCAATTGAAGAAGATTGCAACAATTTTCAAATAAATGACAAGAGACTTCTAAAGTTAGTTATCCATGATTTTGAATTAAAGATAATCTTGTCAGTAAAGCTCAGCTTGATGTTCCTATGACTTAGAGATTCACGTACTGTGTCTATTGTAATCTAATGTTTAGATAAAAAAATAATTACAAATCAAGATGGTATTATAATAGCCAAATTTTCTCTTGTTGTGCAATACTTCATGAAAATCTATCTGATGGAATTTAATTATTGTATTGTTTACCTTTGAGATGAATTAATTGGTAAATATTTCCTGGTGTCTAGTCATACCACTAAATAGTCAGCTGTTGTTGATAAATACAACGTGGGGTCAGAGACATTATTTCGTGATGATAGTCTTCAAAAAGTGCAGTACTGCTGACCTGAGTCAGGCTAATAAAATTTTTAATATCATTGGGAAAATCCATCAGTATTCAAAAAATAAGCTTCTTGCTTAAAGTAGTATAGATAATTAATATATACTTCATATTTCCTACAGTGTTCAAATTCTCTTTGGTCTCCTAAATGAGGGTGTATTTAAAAAATAAAAATAGTTCATGAAATCATACTTGATGTCACTCGCGATGTTTGGTTTTTTGTCAATGATATTCATTCAAATTTTGTTTCTGAAGTAATAAAAGTAAATCGAGTATCAAAAATTAATAAATATGACATCGTTTGGTGTTTCTTATATCTTATTTTCAAATTTATTTGAATCGTAAGTTGAAGTTATTTTTTATGTTACGTGTAAAGGAACGATGTTCGGTTTATACGTCAACATTAGTGATGAGCCAACTTCATTTTCTAAAAACCAAACAATAAGCACATAGGTACCCACCATAACAATGAGGAACTATTTAAAAAAATAAAGAAACTAGAAAAATTATAAAATATTTTCTTTACGTTATTTTACTAAATCTAAACATTTTTTTTTCTGCAGATGATAAGAAATAAGCTTTTTTATATTATTATCTATCAGGATGACCACAAAATGCAACTTATTTTCGATAGTATCAAATACCCTGTTAGCACATTAGTTAAAATCGTAAGCATGCGAATATCGTTAATAAATTGGACGATTTTTCATATTTTAATTCTTTAAATACTTATAAATTAATTTTAAAACTTTATGAAAAAACTAAGAACCTCGATGTTTATTATCATCATTATCACATCACATTCGCGATTTCATAACACATTATTTTGTGATGGAACAGAGGCTATGCATCTCTACAGTATAATTGTATACGTGCATAATACGTTTACAAACAAACAAAGCACCACGCACACACCACTGCTTTACAACGTTGTTTTCATTTAGTGATGTGCTTGATCGTTAAAAATGTATATCCGCGGATACGGATCCGAATACGGATATTTGGTGTCAAGATATACGGATACGGATCTTTATTTCCTTACTCAATCGGTATCAGCGCGCTGAGACCTTGAAACGATAGTTGACGTCACGCCCGCCGCGACAGGCAGGACATGTTTCGACTTGTATTGCGCGGGTATTACTCAATGATGTCAGACGTACCAACTACTTGGTATACTTACTAGTTTTTAGTGTCACGTACCATGTACCAAGACTACTCAGTCATTGTATGCAAAAATACCAAGATTGGCCGTTGACCGACAAAAATACACTGACAACATAGAATAATCGACAAATTTCAGAGATGCATGTAAAAAAACATTCCAATCAGATTTCCTTAATGTCATAAAACTTTATTATATCAAGCTGTCTCGATGAGCAGTTACCATTTTCCGCCGTTATTTTCTCAATATGTTAGATAGCGTAATGGTAACGCGTTGCGCTCACGTTCATGGGGCCCCGGGTTCGATTCCTGCACGGGTTTTTTGTTTAAGTACTTAGTATCAGTTGTTTGCTCAAGCGAACTGCCGTTTTTATTTAATAGTTTTTAATTTAATTTAATTTAATAATAGAATTTAATTTAATAGTTTTTTTTAAATCTACCTAATCACTTATATAAAGCATTTAATCCCTTCAATTGAAAATTTATAAGTTAAAAGATCCGTAAAATAACTCCAGATGTGTCATTGCTCGGAGTACGCTAAGTAGGTAAAGAGGAAGTATTAAAAAAAATAAAGAAAGGACAAAAATTTATGTCACTAGATGGCAGCACAAATTGTTGGATCTAAACGTCAATTCATGACGTTAAACCAAAGAGAATAGAATTGTCAGTGTTGTTATGGATCTGGTAACTCGGATTAATATCGAGTTGAAATTTAATTAGTTCTAGTTATGCAAACGCAACTCGATTTCAAAGTAATCTTTGAATAAATTTATTTTGTATTTGTATAGAAGAAAATGGAAACTAACATAATGGAAGTGAGCACAGAGTTTTTCTTTTAAATTTCTGAAAATCAATTGAATTAATGCTGTGATTTACTCGTATTTAAAAGTGGCATTTAGCTACGGTGTACAATAATATTACCGCTAAATAGTTTTTATAAATAAAATACTTATGCCATAGTAGGTCTAGGAATTTTTCATTATAAGTTTTGAAAACAATAACAACTAGGTAAGTTAGTTTTATTACTATTAGTTGTTTGTTGAACTTACAACAACAAAACTACATCATGTCGTAATAATATTTTTATATTATGTTTGGTGAATGAATGAATAGGGTTTATTAATCAGCAACAAAAGTCATAAAAACTATAATTATAATAAAAAATCCATTTATTATCTATGTACTTACCCGATATGTATCAAATATGCTAGGTATTCGTACAAAATAACATGACTTCTGGCTAAAATGACGTTTGTGCTAAGTGTAACGTGCAGATAACTTGTGCTTTCGAAGTTAAGACTTCAAAAAACTTATATTTATAATTAAATCAACTTAATAAACATTCAGCAATCAACAAGAAACGTCTGTTCTAAACGAACAGCAAGGTTATAAAAAACAATGGTCAAAATGGACTACGAAAAAATAAGTTCTTGTACCAAGATGGAATTATCACCAAAATGTAGTATAAGTTGAATGTAATTATTATGTACCAACAATGTATTTTTAAAAGCTGGGAAAAGAAAGATAATCTTCTCTAAAATATGTCTTAGTTTTTAGAACGCAGTTTAAATTATGTTATTTTTGAACGCATCTTAATAATAATGTCATTCCTAGAGAAGTCCCTCTCTTTTCAAAGAACAAGATCGATTTTATTTCTGAGTAATCGAATTTGATACAAATCTTATATTATTTACTAACCATATAAATCCGTGAAAATTATAAAACTTAGATTAGATTACTAATATAATTAGATGTTACTTAGAGGAAAATAGTTTATTTATAATGAAATTAAAAACTAATGATTATTCATAAGAATCGATATTACAGTATTAAATCGATCGGGAGCTCCCTTTTTTAGACAAGTACATTATGTATAGACGTGTTTCTACGCAGACTGTTTTGTTACTTTGGCGGCGATTTTGTATTATCTTCTGTATTATGGGAAGCATACTAGGTTCCGTGGGCAGTATAGAATTGAGGTCTGGAGAGAAATACCAGATTCTCTGGATTTATTAGAATTAGGCTTAAATATAAATAAAGTCCTAATTATAAGGGCTAGAATTAAGTCGAGACATTGGGAGGAAACAATATTATGTGTACATTTTAATAAATAATAACACATCCGGGTTAGATGGCATAAGAGAACACTGCTGTAATTGTCTTATTGGTCGATGTACACTGGGATGCTGTGCTCATATAGTAGACACGAACAGAATGTAGCTCCTCCTGCGGCATTCCGTGATGAGGTATTCATTAGAGTTGTAATAAAGAAAAGAAAAA